TGCATTCTTCTACTTGATTGGACATTTAATTTAGAAAAATGAAAATATTCATTTAACTCGAAATACTAACAAATTGTGCGAATGAATTATTTCGAAATGACTAATATTGTATTCATTTAAATAATACGTTAACTATGCAATTTTTAAGAACATTATTAATTTCAAATTTTCAGAGAGAAATCGACAGTAAAACAAAGGAGGAAAAAAGTATTATTATATTTAATGAAATAATTTAGCATATTCTGTTAAATTAATTTTTATATTTTCTAAAATGTGATAAAAGAAAGAGAAGAGAGTAGAAAATATAAAGAAAAAGATAGGAATAAATTGTTGAAATTGTCAAAAATAAAAATTGTTGAAAAATTGTCGAAATTTCTTTTAGGAAAAAGAATCATGAATTTTTTCATTTTTTTTAAGAAAATATATAATAGAAGTAGTATTTGCTAATTTATGCGTTGAAGTTAGAAAATTATAGGCTACGATTGATATAGTAAAATAAATTTATGATATAATGATATAATTAATAATAATTTCCTTTAAGAAAATAACGATTTATGATATAATGATTAAAAAGTAAGACGAGAAGATGTTGCACAATTCATTTTTAAATGATCTTTTATTGAAAAATTAATTCTAATGTCGTAATTTTCCTTACGCAGTTATCCTTTATATTATGTACAATACTTTTTAAAAAGCGAAAATAATCTTTAAATGATCGATTATCTCGTTAAATTCCCGTAATACTACAACTGCTCCCGTATTATTATTACTACTCATTAAAACTTATTGGTTGAAAATAAATAATTGTAAATTTTAATTATAACTATTACTAATATTTAATCAATAATTCCACATTGTATTATTAAATATGCTATTTTCAAGAACTTCGTTTATATTATCATCTATCATTTCGATATTTGTAAAATGCAATCCATCTTTATCTACAATTGTAATAGGAATGATTAAAATTTACAATTATTAATTAATGTTATTCTTTAACAACATAATTTAATCTGTTAGATTCTCTCTGATTTATTTTAGCAATTAACAATTATATTATTACCCTTCACTTATTTAAATGCTATACTTTCATTTAGATTTACTGATATAGATTATCTTTTTGTTACTAATGTCTTCTTATGTAAATAATCCAAGTAAAACTAGCTACTATTCTTTAACTCATCTTATTAGACTTTATTTAGCATTTTTCATTAAATATATAACCAATTAAATATTGATTTAATTAAGTTGATATTTAATAATAACCAATTAAATATTGGTTTAATTAAGCTGATATTTAATAATAACCAATTAAATATTGGTTTAATTAAGTTGATATTTATATACAATTAAATATTATCTCAGTTAATGTTTAATTTTTCTAACAATTCAAATTCTATTAAAGATTTCTTTTTCAAGCAAGATACGATGAAGGCTATAGTTTCAGTAATACTCGTTGTTTGTTGGCAACCTTTGTTCTATGTATAATGATATTCATTGGTATCGCATCGGTTGCATTTTTGATTGCATTATTATATACAAAATGTTTTGGTCATCCAGAATGTACATGGCTTAGAATTTTCAAATTATTTTAAAAAATCATATGGAGTATCCATTTGATCATCAATAATTCATAACATCTCCAACGATATATTTTTTACATGTTATAATTTCTAGAATAAACTTTTTGTACAACAAACTATTTAACCAGTGTTTCGAAATTTTAATTTAAAAAAGAATAAACATGTTTTGAAGTTTTTGATTTAAAAGAAGGAATAAACAAATTTCTGAATGATTCATCCGTATAAGTTTCATTACAGTTAATGTTCATCACTTACCTAATTTAATCTTTTCATTCAATGTAATCTATTAATGACGTTCCGGAAGCAAACAGTCTTTCATATACCTGATGCAATAATCGGGTTTCTTAATTATCCATCAATCTTATCAAAAACGTAATATGAAATCTTATTACCATATTATTACAGTGATAACAACGGATAGCCATATAGTAAACTTGAAAACATTGATAATTTACTTGAGCATTAAATAAATCAATACATCTTCACTTTCTCTTAAAATCAGTCAATCTGTGAAATTTTACAAGTTTTCCAACCTTTATAAAATAATATAAAATAGTAAAAGTTTATCTCAGTTGTTGAGATTTAAAAATGACCACAGATCAACTTAATAACATGAATTGGTATGTTCACTTTACTTAATTTATTGAGATATGAAAAAATCAACTACCACGAAATATTGCTATAAATTTATCATAAAAACATGTAAATTAGCAATGAATGAAAAATTGTCAAAATATACAAGGTTATTCTCATTAATAATTAATGGTTTGGATGATATTAAACAACCATTATTCTCGGAATAATATGGTTACTGATTGTAGTATTATTGTTAATGCAGAATAATGATCATGATAATCATTCAAAATAAGACAACACGGTGATTTTTGATCAGATGAATAGAGAATTCTAATTTTCCAATTTTTTTTATACAATTCCTCTTTTGCTATTTATTTGCATCCAACATTTTTTGAGGAATAGAACTGTAAATGATCGGACTGTCCTTAATATACATTAAAATTTAGTGAGCCGGTAAAAGTTTCGCAATGAAATTATTTAACAAGCAAACTATGCACTACATATTCAAATCGTTTTAGTCCAATTTCATCGTTATTACGTAATGGATAAGGAGTGAGGAAAGATATAATCCTGAAAATTTCAGATAGAAAAAGATAAGTCAAGGTCGAGCTGTTCGATCAACATCAAATAACCTATTTAATGCTAATCAGCATGAAGACAATAATGACTAAAAATAAGTTCCATTAAATAATTACCGAAGAAATCAAGTTTAATACTCATATACAATGTTTATTTCACGAATTCGCAAAATATTCAAATGCAGAAGTGTCACTGATTAAAGTGCCCTAATTTTATCGTAAGGTAGAAGTTGACAATAATAATCCTCTGGTTCGCCAATTTTTTGAAGCAAACATGTTTGCTTTAATTTTGGATTTTGTATAATATTTTTAAAGTAGGTACATGGCTTTTCACGATAACCGGGCATTAGTAAATCAAAAAATGCTGTGCCATCTTCAAGTGGTGCCAACGAATGAATGTTACCAAATTTAGGGCCCAAATGTACGCAATCATCGCTATGCCAGCGATTACTGGTACCTTCGAATCTGCAAAACTTCAGCTTATATTTATGAAATGCCATAAAAAATGAGAAATATCGGTAAAAGAAAAAAAAGAATTCTTCTTTTCCATTCAATTCAGCATTGAATGATCTAAAAAAGTCAGTCACGGAATCAATAGAACGGCTGGTAACCATAGCCACCATACAATCATAATAGTTATCAACTCCTTAATTATGAACAATGGTTCCACAGCAATGTGAACTCTTTCAGAAGCAGGCGTGTAATAAAGTTATAGAAAGCGAACGTCCATGTAATCGCAGAGTATTTGTTAGCAGGAAGAAAAGGAATTGTAAAATTAGAAAATTTTAAAAATGAAATCACACCTGGCAATGGTAACGCTTGACGATAGAGCGTTCGACTTTGTCCATTGCAATGTTTCTCGTTCATCATGAGAAAGTTCGGTATAGGAATTTATTGCTAGGGCACCACGAAGAACCTTCACAAATCCGTACATATCTGGATGATCGTGTAACGGGAACAGGAAATCACAACTTTTAAAGCCGAACAAGCAAGCATGAATATGCTCGGATTCATAAATATCAACATAATACATTGGAGCTGTCATCGATGCAAGACCTATGATATAGGAAATCACACCATATGAAATGCATTTCGTTGCAAGGAAAATACTACATCAGTGATGAGCAAAATAAAGTTTTCCGAGAACAAATTATTTGGAGATATCAATAACTCACTCATAACATTCATTTTCACATAATTTACGTTCTTTATTTTTTATTGTTTATCACGTGAATATACGTCGGACGTATGGGCGTGAAAAAATGTCTTATCACATATCGTTTAAGCCATCCAATAATTAAGCTACATTTCTTAAAACAGCATGCTCTTAACCAGCTAAGATACTGTCTCTAAATTGCAACACATTCAAATCATCCATGTATTTCCCGTGCTGCCCTAGATAGAAGTTAGGGATTTTATAGCAAGAAGTAAACTCATATATTATTTGAAAAGTAATTTTGATACTAAATTAACAATCTAAATATATTATGTATTAAATTTAGAAAACAATCTTTGTAAAACAAACCAAGACGATCTGGAAGAACTACGTCTAGCATATCGAGAGTAAGAGTGGATACAAGCCGATGAGCACGTTCAGATAACATTTCTGTTTCCGCCGCGTAAGCATTATCACTATCTGTGGTGTTTGATAGCTTCAATTGAGTTAGTCGCTCAGATATTGCCGACACTTCACGTAGGAACGAACGTAATCCTTGCTGTGACATGACTTTTGAAATAATCATAGAATGCCGCTATGCTTTGAATGCTCTTGAAGGAGGAAAATGAAAGAAATAAATTAGCAACAGAAAATTTGAAATCGACCAACCAAAATCCAATTAAAACTACACCAATTGTTCGACAGCTTTTAATTAAATATCGAACATATGAGGAATTTTTTTTAATAACAGATATTAAACTAAATGAAATGAATAAATGATTAAAATTAGAAGAGAATAATTACAGAAGCAAAAAACAAAATTGATCAGCCTAATCTGAATTAAAATTATCAATACAAATATCAAACATATATTTTAGGGCTAAATTTAATACACAGTAGTTAATATAAACAAAGAGAAATTAATTTAGGATTAAAATAATTCGGGAATATCGAAAATTACTAATAACAGCTACTAATAATAATTACTGCTTAGTAATAATTTGGGAGTAGTAATTTAGGAACTAATAATAGTGGACGGTAATAAATAAATTTCTGATGTGACATGCTTAATACAAAATAAATATGGGGAAAAATGAATTGAAATCTTTTACATTATATTTTAATACATTTACATTATATTTTAATGTAGTAATAAGTAAAGAAAAATTTCATCAATGGAAAAAGAGAAAGAGAAGTTAGAAAATGAAAGAAAAAGAATGATTTAATATATAAATAAATATATGATTAATATACGTAGGAAAAGAAATGTAATAATTAATTATTATTAAAATATAAATAATAAAAAATGTAAAGGTGAAAATTATTAAACTTTAGGTTTAATAATAATTAAAAGTTAAACTTACGCATGCCATAATTTATGCAGCAATAGAATATATTCATGAGAAATAGCATTAAAAAAATTTCTAAACTGTCAAACTGTCAACTTTTTTTTTGCCAATAATTCCAATTGTTATTGTAATATCCAATTGTTATTATAATCAAAATTATAATCGAATTATGACATACCTTACTCATTGTTCATAATTGTTTTTCTCATTCTTTTCTTTAATCTTTATTTTCATATTTTCATAATTATCTTACTTTAAGTTTATAATAATTATTATGAAAATTAGTTGATCAAGTAAACGAACAATATAAGAGCGTATATTACCATACAGTAAACAAACAATACAAGAGCGTATATTCCATATATCTAACTTAATAATTTACTCAAGTAAATAAACAATATAAGAGCCATATATGATAATATAGCCATGCATGATAATATACGCTCTTATACTGTTTGTTTACTTGAGTAAATTATCAAGTTAGAAAATAGTAATGAAAATCAGTGCAATGGGAAAAAAATTTGCAAGAGAATAAATACTTACTTTAAAAGAATACTTAATATTTACTTTACGTATTTTACATAAGCATGCAAATGAATAAATATTAGATATGAACAAATTAATAAATATGCAGAAATAAATAAAATTTTACATGATTAATGAAAATTGAACGCACATGATTGCTGCAAATACAACAAAAATATGGAAGAGAATTTAAATATCTACAACTGTAATTATTGATTTCAAATTACGCTAAATATTCAAGAAGAATGAGTAAGCATACTTTTTAGCTAAGTATTCAAAAAAAATAAATAAAATTGTAATCTAATTATGACGAAACAAAAGTTCTATGTGAAATATTTCATTAGCAATAATCATAGTGAGTTAATTAGGTAAGTACAGAAATATATAAATAAATGTGTGGGTGATTGAAGAAAATAAACAAATGAGTATAAATGATAATAAATTAATAGGCAAATAAACATATAAGTGAATAAGTCAGTAAGTGACATGATATCTCATCCCCCTAACCATTCCGGCATGCTGATTTAAACCAACAATATTTTATGGTTTAGCATTTCGAGGAAGAACCAACTGGTTTTAATTCATGTTGATAATTTGCGAAAATTAAACTTGATTATTTTGGCGTTAACGAGAATTTTAAAAATTTTAAAACTGAACATTTTAAAGAGCATTTTCCCAGGTGTTTTTTTTATCTTTCCACCCGTACTGTTTCTCTATAGTTCGTCCTCGAAATGCTAATTGCCATATTATACTGTACTATTTTGTAAATCCTTTACTACCTCATGCTACTAGTTAAATTTCATTAAAGCGTTTTTTGCTTTCCATCTATAGTGTTGTCTTTTTTTAAAGAAAGATATTTTATTATATCAGTTTTATTGGCTCCAGCTGCTTTTCAAATTATAATATTGCTTTTTTCTATTTTTAATTTCTAGTTGATGCTTTTTACAATCATCCATTAATTTTTCTTTAAATTGTTATTGCATCATTGTTATATGATAAAATTCATTTCCTCATATAAAACTTCTTTTTTGCTTTTTACCTTTTTGCTGTTTCTTCCTTGTGGTTGTTTCTAGAATTTCATTTTGAATCTGCGAAGTTTTTTTTCCATTTTTAAGAGTTTAGTTAAATCTATTAGGGTAAAGGAATGATTGCCGATAATAAGCATCGAGAAATCAATCATAAATTGTAAGTATGTAAGAGTACTTTGAGACTCTTGAATAAGCTATCCTACTTGGAAGTTTTCACTTATACTCTTCCTTGCAAATAACTGGGAAGATTTACTGTGTAAATTCATCAAAATGATATACTACTCAAATTTAGCTTGATCATATGCCGTACAAAACAGACTAGAATGAAGAGTGCTTACTTATAGAATCAAAACGGCAGTAAAAAGATGCTAAGCTAATGTTCTTGTGAATAAAGGATTGTTTTTCATTTTCATAAATAAGTATTAGTGTGTTTTCCTATTCATAAATGTGTTAGTAATTCCCCAAAATATGCTATGTAAAGGGTAAAATGGAATTATTTCAGATACAGATGGAGAATGAAATTGCAAAACATGCAAGTGATACTGCCAACAAACGGTAGTAATTATTTACGGGTGTTAATAATGGGAATATTGATGTATTGGATACGGTATCTTATGACATACCGTAGGATAAGCTGTATAATATTATTCATATTTTTCTGTAATCTCATCTTGATAATACGATTTGTCGATTGGCAATTACCTGTACAGTTGATTAACCTACAGGTATATTTTCATGTCTCAAATTATCTTTTGTATTAAGGAAGCGTTTGAGTTTTTGAGACTTAATTTTGAGATTAAAACTAGATTTAGTTTTGTCAAGTCAAATTTTTAAAATAATTTATAAGTTTCCGAATTAATGTAACGTTCGGATTTCCAAATTTTCATTCTAAGACTAACTTTTAAGTATTTTAAATCTTTATTAAAATTATTTAAATTTAATTTTAAAATTAAAGCTTCATTCGAATCTCTTGAACTAAGTTTTAGTGTGACACTGAATTGGAATTTCCAGAATTTTATTCTAGATTACATTTACATTAAGATCTTTTAACTGGTTCCTGAAATTGAAATTAAAATTTTGAAAGTTATAAAATGAAAAGAATTGTAAGTAGTTATACCATTGGTATTAGTCAGCATCATACTTATAGCTCATAGACGCCTTGTAATTTAAGAAACGAGCAGTAATCAAAAATCTTCCTCGTAATGAATTGTCAGATAAATAAGTTATTAAGTAATACTTCAAGTACTTGCATAAAAAGAACTCCAAGATCTCGTCTACTTCGGTTAATTTTAATTCACTTATCAATTTTATTTCATTTTTATAAAATGGCAAATTATTACGAATGTAAAATATTAACGAATTAAAGAAAAATTACTAAATTTGCTTCTCTTTGTTAGGTGACTTATAGGAAGAATTGTTAGTTTAAAGTGTTATGAATGTAGCAGTGGTGCTAGGGATAGACTAAAAGTAAAATTAATAAAAATTAAATAAGCTAAAAGGGATCGAAGGGAGTAAATGAATTTTAGACTAAAATGTTCATGTGACAGTCTATTAATAAATATATAACGTAATCAGTTTTCAGAATAATTTCGAACAAATTCCTAAATTTTATTTTTTAAGGATACCAATTGGGTTGATAATGAAGGAATGCATCAATCGCAGATTGTAGCCGACAAGTTTCCATCCTGTGAACTTCTTTCTGGATCATTAACAGTAAGTGCTTTATCCAGAATGAAAACGGAGAAGTGTCGCACAAGAGCTCGTGATATCGTTTGTAATATTAATCAACTGATACCTGATTCACTTCCGAATACATGTCCAAAATATGGTTAGATTATTCTATAAAATTCACAGTTAAGAGTAAAATAATCATATTAAATGGAAGTTTCGTACATTAAAAATATTTAGAATGACATAAGAATCTGAGACATGTTTTCTTCTAAGTCTATTTATAAATACCTGAAGCTTAAGAGACCTGTTTACCCGAGAAATACGCAATATTATTTGAGAAGACTGATTACCGTTAGTTTGATCTGAAATATTATTTGCTCGAATTCATCAGAGCAGAAAAGTCACAATAAATTTTAATTTTTGACTGTTTTTAAAATTATAGCACACAACTTGGTTATTTTAGATGACAAATTACGTGGTCATTACATGGGTTGTTTTGAAGATTCACTGAATTCTCGCCTTCTTAATGGACATTTTTACATGTTTAAAAATAATTCACCGTCATATTGTGTTAATATGTGTCTTCGAGCAGGTTATAGTTTTGCAGGTTAGCGCTTGGTTTCATTTAAATAAGCGCAACTTTTCAAATGATGTACTTACTCCATCCAGCATTGTTTTTGTTACTGTAAATGTTTTTTTAGGTAGTATAGAGCTTTATGATGCCGTTCATCAAATTGAAATTATCCATTTTCGCACTTTTTCTGAATGGATTAGGATTTGTTTATGAAGGTCACAAATTTTGAAATTATCTTGTTGTTCAGCTATTGAATATCGTGACGAATGTTTCTGTGGTGACACGTTGGCAAATGTCGTTTCACTTCCGGATATATCATGCGAACAGTATCATTGTAATGATGATAGCTTATTTTGTGGTGGTTATAATGCAGCTGCTCTTTATCGTACTGGTGTAATTGGTAAGAGTTGAATATTTTAGTGGTTTTTATTTATGAATAATTGCAATTTTTACGGCATGTTATTCAGAAATAAAATTTAAGATGACTTTAGAAGAGTTTTTCCTTTTATATATCATTTTCACACGTTGCTGTAGAAAACAATAATCCTGTTAATAGAAAACGGATGAATAAAGTATGAGGTAAGAGAGAAAATTCGAACCAGCAGTAATGAAAATAAAACGATAAGTTAAGATGAATAAGATCAAATCAGTGGCAGAAATAAGGCAGATTGGGGATAGCAAGAAATTATGTTATGGATAAAAGGATAGAAAGAAATAATGTTTTGACAAAAACATTGGAACTAACTAACAGCCATGTTTTAAAGGACAAAGCATAAGCCAGTTAAAGTAAAGATGATAATGAAGAATAAGAGAAAAATCGTAGTTTAGCGTAGAAAATAGTGATATTTCTATTATAATAACGGAGAAATAATGAGGTAATAAAAATTTACACTAACAGCAGAATATTGAAATTCATGGTGATGGGAATATAAATTTACAATTTTTGCACATAAGAAAATTGTATATGTTATATATGTTATATAATTACATATGTTTACGATAGTTTTTATTTTCGATTTGAATAATTGTGATCGAACACTACCGCAATCCCAGCCATTAATGATGAAAAATGCTTCATCCATAATTTCTTACGACATGGTTTATCATTCTTTCTCCGAAAGCTTTTTTTAGAAAAGCCTCTATTGGTAATCAATTATAGTGAGCCAGACAACAATGTGCCAAATGTGCAGATTTTATTTCTTTTACAGTTGAATGGACGAAATACTCGGCAGGTAAACAGAGAGAAGTCTTAAGACTGGTTGATTTTATAGTAAGGAAAATTTACAGTAATTTTAAATTTTACAAGTTTCTGGTGAATTATTTATTACGAAAAATAACTGATCGCAATTGATAGCAATTGTAGATTTATATATTTTTGAGGTTTAAAATTTATACATTCTCTTTACGTTTTTGGTAAGTGAAACATTTTTCAGGTGAACCGTTTATTGCGGGTTATTTATTCACGAAAACATTTTTATATAATACATGTTGATAGCCGACAGCAGTATATGTTTGAGGGTATTTTTGGAATCACTGTTTTGTAGATAATGATTTCTCAATACTTTTTTGTGAAGTTTAAGCATTTTTTTTACTTTTCATGAGTTTCTTACTTTTCCTTATTGTAGTTAAGTTTTAGGATGGTAACATTAGGAATTTGCATCATATATCATCTAAGTGTTTGGAAGGTGTTATAAATTCTAATTAGAATGACTTTTTGAATTGTTTATCATTCAACAGCTGATTTCTTTTTGAATCTTTTCCTTTTTCGTTACAGAGATGAGGGAACTTGTTGCCAATATTCGTAAAGCTGGTTACGAGAACATTTATTTGATGGAAAAACGTTATGCAACGATTTGGGCAGGTGCTACATTATTATCCATGGTTTTGGATGTATTGAAAACAGCTTTGTATTCTCTGAACTGGAACAGCTGGGATTTCATGTTGAATTTAAGTGAAAGCAGTTTTCCTATTCTTTCAATGGTTGAATTAGAATTTCATTTAGCAAAGTATGTTTTTGTCAAAATTTTAGCTTTCTTATTAAATTTACAAGTTTTTATTTCTTGTTCAGTTTTTCTGTTCGGTATCGTTCTCATGTTATAGTAAATGAATTTTTCTTGGAAAATTTCTCATACTTTAAAATGTTACGGGTATACGTTACGGATGTAAAACTCAACTTGCTTGTCATAATGGCTGGATAATTCGTACCAATTCTCTCTCAATCAAAATTCATTTACAGAAATAAAGGACGAATCTTCCTGAGCAATCATGGTTATGACACTGCACGATTCATTCAAAAACAAGGACTAGAATACGTATTCATGCAGTGTGAAAATCGAATGTGGCTTCTGACGAAACGGTTAATTGTTTATCTCGCTATCTAGAGATAAAAGTTTTTAATAAGCGCATTTTCAGTTTCAATTTTGAAAGTACCAATTTTATTAATGCGCCAAGTAGCAAATGCCAGCTTTTTTCGTGAAGAGGATGTCTATTGTTATTTTACAAGCTTCAGAAAACCATTTTTGAACAATTAAGAAAGAATAAGAAAGAATGTATCGTGTGAAAAGGAGTGGAAACTATTGATAATTTATGCAGGACAAAGTTTCCAAATTCAATTCGCTTGGATGGCGGCTCCGATTGGGTTGTTATCAGCCGAGATTTTGCCGAATACGCCTTATCCGATGAAGAATTACCTCTAAATTTTCGAAAATTTTTCGCCAATGTTCTGCTACCAGTTGAAACTTTCTTTCATACTGTAGGTGAATATTTATTCATTGCTTCAAAACTTATAATTCCAAATTATAATTGAGTTTTTGTTTAACAGGAACAACTTTCCAAAAATTTGATTTTCTTAGCAGAATGATTTTGGCAGTATTTGGAAATAAATTTCTTAGGCTTACCACAATTATTCCGATTTTTGCTTCTAGACATAATTCTGCTGTAAAGCTTTATTCTCAACTGTTAGAATAATATTGGAAGATAATTTTTTCGCTAATTAAATATGGATGCTTTGGAATACTTATATTAACGAGCAAATTATCTGATTGCAGCTAGCAGCTAACTCGAAATTCTGCATGCAAGTGGTAAAAGGAAACTTGCATCTTACAAACTGGAAACGTCGACAGGGTTGCCGCTGTGCAGGATTGAAAATGATTGTTGATTGGTGTGGTTGTTCACCACTTGCTTTTCGTTCTTCTGATATCTCGAAATTTTCAATTAAGGTTTGGTTTGCATGGATTTATTTTTATGATTTTGTCCGATATAAGTAACCAAGATTTCTTTAACAAAAACGCCAAAGTCGGAACTTTTTAAGTGATAGACAATTTTACAGACTGTCAAAAGTAGGGTGGTATTTTTTGGTCGCAAATTCGATCCAATGATAAATCAACAGGCTATTGCCATCGCTGAAGCGCAAGCATTAAGATTCACTGTTGGTAACAGTAATAGCAACCATCCATCATTTAACAAATCCTGGATAAATGTTTATTTATCACCATTCGATCAGTCAGGTAATACTTATAAGTTGAAACCAATAAAAAAAAGTTGTTTGCAGTTTTTTCTTCTCCATAAACGATTTTATAAATAATTGAAAATTTTCTTGTTTTTTCACGATAGAATTATTGATAATATCTTGAATTTTCCTCATCATTCCGTCGTAGACTGTCGTATGATCTACCGGTATAGTACGATCCATATACCTTGCAAAGGAGCTCGTATTTACTTCTTAACTGTTTCCTTAAATTTTTTTTTGTCATACCATCAATGAATCCTGCGCTATACAGATTTTCACGAAAAAAATTCAAATCTTTATAGCTGAATGAGATTATGGTGAAAATTAAATTTTTCAGTGTTACTGGAAAGCTTCGCTCGTACATTGCTACCTTATCAAAAAAGTCGAGATTGTATATTTGGAAATCTTTCATCGATTACTGCTTATAAAGAAGACGATGAAGCACATATTCAGAACATATACCGATCATCTTACATATGTAATAATAATGAAATAGAATTTATTCAAGTGCTAGTAGAATCAACCAATCCAGTAAAATTTGTGAATACAACCGTAGATGGTTACGAATTGGAAGATCTCGAAATTGGTTCTGATTTTGATCTTAAAGAAGAAGTTTTCCGGAAGTACCACAATGTTTTATCTGAGGTCTTTTTTTATTTTCTTTCACATGAAAATGAAAGTTTCTTATGATTTGGCTGCTTTCTATGCAATTATTAGTTATTGCCATTTTATTGCAATTGTTTGCATAGTTAATATCATAATAACCATTTCATTTCATTGGCGGTCACGTATTTCTGCATGCCTAACATGCAGTCGTTGAGTGATATCACGAAACTGCATGAATATTAATGAAATGAACACATTATCAAAAATTATTCAATTTATCTTGAAATCATATTTTTCCTCTATCATATTTGTACGTATGAGAATAATCGTTGACCATTCGTATCATCAACGGATAGTTTATTGAATAATTCAGGAAGATACGATTTATGCAAAACTGCAATGGCGAAGGATCGAATCGTTATCAACTTCTGTGCACGAAAATTTCACTAGCCCTCAAGTAATAGTAGAATGGAAGAATCCCTCTGATTTCCTTATCAAACGAACAAAAATAAATCCGTATGATTCCATATATGGTGGACAGTATACGGAATTATTTTCAAATGAAATAACGCCCGGTGAATGGACTGTTGAATTCCGCATGGACGATGACACCAGTACTATTATTGGTTCTATAAATTTTATAATATTTTCAACAACTGATCGAAATATTACTGAGAACATAATATCCAAATACTTTCGCCGTATTGATTTTTGCTCGGAAGCTAACGTTGACGATTTACCGAATTGTCTAACAACATCGTGGAGTGCAAATTATTCGGATCCAAAATCTCGTTTATTCTTTGATCCTGTTTAATATTGTTATATTTCATCTCATTTGTTGCTCATGTCGTGTTTGCTCATGTTTGTAAATTTAAGGATTTGAATATCTTTGGAATTTTAGAGATTTTGCAAATTTTCCATTTGGTGAAATCTCAAAATTTTTAACGCTTATTGTTTATATTTACCATTGAAGTCCTCAATAATTTTTTTATGATTTTCTTTGGAATCTTTGTTTGATCGATATTCGGTTAATTGTTGCGATATTTATGCTCTACTTACGAATGATTTCTGATTAATATTTAAAATCATCACATTTTACATGCAATTAATGGATACATTGTTTTGACGTCACATTTTCATTCTCATTTCTTTGTTTTTATTCTCTCTTTCTTTCTCATTCTTTCTCCTTTCCTTTCTCGTGCTGATGTAAACTTTAACCCTCAAATAAATCAAATAGGCCAGTAATTAAGGAAATTAAATATGGCTAAACTGGAAAGTTTCACATTCATAATCAGATCTTTCATTTCATGTTTAATTCTCGATATAATATTTATTTATGGTGCTAATTTGTCATATCATTCTCATATAAATCAAATGAATTCTTTTAATATGTGAAACCATTTGCGTAAACAAACTATCAAATGTCGGACATTACTTCAATGAAGAAAACGCGTAACAAGAATTCGATGAAATCAAAAATTGATCATTTAAAATTTTGAAATTTTTATAGATGCAAATCATTGACTTAAAAATGAAATTCATACAATTTCTAATTTGCGATATTAATTAAATAAGATTTGCGATATTAATTACATTTACAAAGTATTCATACAATTAAAATTTGCGATATTAATTACATTTACAAAGTATTCATATAATTAGTGTTTGCGATATTATTAACATTTACAAGTATTCAAATAATTAGTATTTGCGATATTAATTACATTTACAAGTATTCATATAATTAGTATTTGGGATATTAATTACATTCACAAGTATTCATAAAATTAGTACTTGCGATATTAATTACATTTACAAGTATTCATATAATTAGTATTTGCGATATTAATTACATTCACAAGTATTCATAAAATTAGTACTTGCAATATTAATTACATTTACAAAGTATTCATATAATTAGTATTTGCGATATTAATTTTCACATTCACTATGCTCATTTATTTGAAAGAAAAAGAAGTACAGTATAAGTTATCATAAAATGAAGAATAGAAGCTAAGAAATTAGATGAAAGAAGGAAAGAATGAAAAATGACAAAAATGCGAACAAATAATTTAACTTCACAGAAATTCATAATTTTCACAAACTTCCATTAATCATATCGGTGAATATCAAAGCTAATCAAACTTATTTTACTATGAATCATTCACATATGGGCTTACATTTCAATCTAATCAATCATAAATTCAGTTTAAGAAAAAGAATAAATTAATGATAATGATCGTAAATCATTTTTTTTTCTTCCTAAATTATATATATTTTTTTAATTTCGAAATTTTTTAATTTCTTTGAAAGTCTTTTCTAATAATTGACAATTAAAGAATTTGTATTATAGCTGGTTTATTTCCAAACATTTTATGCGTTTCTGTATTTCTTTTTTATCGTTTAAATTACTCCTTCTTTTGAATATCATTATTATTATTATTATTATTATTTTTATCATTATCATTACTATTATTATTATTATCATTGTCATTATTATTATTATTATTATTATTATTATTATTACTATTGTTATTATTATTATTACCATTATTATTATTCACTTCTTCTTTTGAATATTATCATTATCATTATCATTATTATTATTATTATTATCATCATTGTCATTATTATTATTATTATTATTATTATTATTATTATTATCATTATTACTATTATTATAATTATTATCATTATTATTATTTCATTATCACTATTATTGTTATTGCTAATTGGCAGCGCACTTTTGCTATTTCAAAATTTCTTATAAAATTTCTTTCAAAATTATTATGCAAATTAGCCAAAGATTATTGTACAAGAACTAATATTCCTGTTTTCATCGCATTCTATTTTATTTTTTTATGTATTAATTTTATGAAACGATGTTTCAATTCATTCCGAAAAATTTTTTTTAAATTTTAATTTTTGATGTTTTGAGGTTGAGTACATTAAATTATATCTATCAATTCTTTTATTTCAAAAATATGAAATTACCTTTTCTTTTCGGCTTACACAAATTTCGCTTCATACCAATACTATGAGTGTTTTATTTGCAGTAATTTAATTAATTAATTTAGTAAATTGAAATTAATTAATTTATTATTTTATACCATTACAAAAAGGCAGCGATTATTTTTATGTTAGTTATTAAAGAAATGAATCAAAAAATTAGAAATTAAATAAAATTTGGATTACATACTAATTTTTCCTTAGTAATTAAAAGAAATAAACATTAATATGTCTTAATTAACCTATAGATAGAAAACGAACTGAATGTTAATTAAAACGGTTTACTGATTTTCAAGAAATCGATCAATCGGATATAAATCTGATTGCATACAATTATTATTGAATGTCATTTTCAAAAAGGTAGTCAGTCATCTTCTATCCAATGAATCCAATGTTGATTATATTGCTATACCGGAATTATATTTACTCGGAAATATAACGAATGTTTATTGTTTCGTTATACGGGATTGTAATTACTGAAAAATGGAAATGATCTTGATTGTCTTGCTATATTTACTGTAAATGGAACGGATGTTGACTCTTTTATTGCACCTGGAATTATATGTTCCGTAAAATTGAACGGTTCTTGATTATTTGACCCAATATCAGAATTATATTGTTTCTAAAATAAGATTAACAATATTAGGATAAGTTTTATTCTTAGAGAAGAAAAATCAGATATAAATGAAAAACAATGAAAGAATGGATAAAATCATTTTACTATTTGAAATTTAAAGAAAAGTTAAAAAAAAAAGGAAAACTTTCAAAAATTTTACAAAATTTCCAAAAAGAACAAAAAACAAAAATTATTCGTTGAAATATTCATTTATTATATTTATTTTTATTTTTTTTTAGGATTAATATAATTCTGATATTAACCAAATATACAAATATTTATTATTATTATTTTTCTTATTTTTTAGGATCAATATAATTCTGATATTGGCCATATATATATACGTTTACTTATTATATATTTGTTATATTTATTTTAGGATCAATATAATTCTGATATTGGCCATATATATATACGTTTACTTATTATATATTTGTTATATTTATTTTTATTTTAGGATCAATATAATTCTAATATTGGCCAAATATTTATTTATTTATTATACTTATTTTTTTTTAAGGATTAATACAATTCTGATACTAGCCAAATATATACTTATTTATGATATATTTATTATATTTATTTTTATTTTTTTAGGATCAATATAATTCTGATATTGGCCAAATATATACTTATTATATTCACTTTTATTTTTGAGGAACAATATAATTCTGATATTGGCCAAGTATATATAAATTTATTATATATTTAGTTATTATATTTATTTTTGTATTTTTAGGATCAATATAATTTCTGATATTAGCCAAATATATATATATTAATTTATTTTTAAACAAATGGAAAATTTTAAAAGAGACGAAAAATTTTAAAGAAAAAGAAAAATTATTTTTATTTTGCTTTTTTACTTCATTTAATTCCCTAATGAATCCATTACAAATATTTAATTACAACATAAATTTATTTTGATTAATAAATATATTTTTCAGATTGAAGAAATTCCTTTTTCTTTCTATAAATCGTTTGAAAGTGAAAGTTTTTCCGAATGATTGACAATTAATGTTAAATTTGGGAATTTTGTCCTTGTCCTCAAAAATTTGAAATGAAATTTGCATAAATTTAGGTCAAGTATTGATATATTTTCGTCATATTGCTATCGCATATAACGATCATCAATTTCAGCAACTGAGCCATTTTCTTCTCAAAAGTCAAACGAATCCATTTCACTAAGCCAATTTGGAAATCTTTTCATCGATTAGCCAAATCTTCATATAATAATAATTCCCAATGGATATTATAAGAGCTTTTCGTAGTATCGGAAGTCATCAATTCCTATCTTTTTATATTTTTCGATCATTCATTTGAATTCCTTTACATTTATGAATAAATAGCGCATTAGTAAATATGCGGTAAGCTTTTCATTGATAAACGTAAAATATATTATTATTTTTACTATCATTTGACAAATTTTGATATATATTAATTTATTTAATATTTATATTTAAGTGTTTAAGTATTTAGATTTTTGAGTATTTAAATTATTCGATATTCTTTCGGTTAAATATTATTAATTAGAAAATTAAAAACTTAAATTTTATCATTTTGAAATATCAAATAACATTGATATTTTATTGTACAAAAATAAATTTGTGCGACAGAAAACAAATCAAACTTTAGATGATTTTTTTTTAAAAAGAATTTTTTCAGTTTTCAATTCATAAATATTAATTAATTGATCGAAGAGTAATAAATATATATTTGTGTTATTGAATTTATTAAGGAATGGATAATTGCTATAATTGATAATTAACAGTAAAATGTAATGCTAATGCTTGAATAATTTCTCTGGCAATAATAGCTTGATGATGATTTTTCATCGAATCATCTATTATTATATCATTAAGCATTTAAATATTCAAGTTATTCGTTATTAAAATATTATCGGTTAGCAATATTATTATACGTAATGGTATATCTTTAAGTATTTAAATATTCAAGTTATCCGTTATTAAAACATTAGAGTTTAGCAAATTATGACAATGTAGCATATAGTTGAAAAATGTCGACAAAAACATCATTAATAATATGTATGTATATGTGTTCAAGATATGTATGTTCAAGATATGTATTATATCTTGAAGTGTTCGAATATTCAAATTATTCTTTAGTCTTTATTTAAAAATATAAATTGCTAATAATTAAATTACACCAAAGATATTAAATTACACCCT